CCTTAACTTTGCCAAGACGTGACTCAGTGTTTATAATTTGTGTCGTTATTTTTCCTGATACAAAGTGTGCCCTTTTCACTTTTGGCTTCAGGGCTTACACTTACTTTAGAAATGTTTTTTTCTATTATACTTGAGCGATTTTATTTTTCTGTTTATTCTCCTGTCTTCGGGAACACCAATTATACTCAATTTAGTACTTTTTGGTCCAGCTTTATATAGTTTTCATTTTATCTTTACTTGCTAGCCCCTTTTATTTCCCTTAGCCTGGGTGATTTTTTCATACTACTGACTCTGTGCTCAGTGGTGTGTATTCTAATGTTTTTTTTCTAAACTATCCATTTTCCCCCATTAACAGTTATGTTGTTATCCTCAATTGCCTTTCTGGATTCTGCAGTCTCCTTTGATATCTTCTGTATCTCTTGTTTCAGGTATTTCTCAACCAACTCTCAAAAGAGTATTTACTCTTCAATTTATTTGAGAGTGTGGACAAGTATTTCCCTAAAATTTTCTTTTATCACCTGCGATGATTCTCCCTTTTAAGTGCATTCTTCTTTGTTATTTTTTTCTTATTTTCCTTTCTTTCTACTTAGACATTTGTGATGTTTATGCACATGGTCCTTTCGTATTCTTTCTGCTTGTTACCCTTATTCTACTGGGATGGTTTTATCTGGGTCTGATATTTGCTTGAACACAGGGTGGGGGAGGGCAGAGTGTCCTGGTTCAGCCCACAGCTGCCAATCAGCTCTATTGTCACCAAAAACTTTTCAACAAAACCTACCACCTGGGGACACACGTCTTCCTGAGGTTTGAGGGCTTTGCTCCATTAGGGTAAAATGGTTCCCCAGCTGGTAGCTGGGCAGAGGGTTGTCGGGCTTGCAATTCAGCATTAACTTCTCCCTGTTCACGCGGCAATGGTTTGAAATGCCCTGTTTCCAGCTGTCCCCCCAGATGGAGAAGCCCAGGCCACAGAGGGGCTCATCTCACCCGTCCATGGGCTCACCTCTGCTCACGGCGGGTCATCAAGTCCTGGGACGCTCTTCCTTCCAGGTGACTGTGGGTCAGAGGGCGTGCAATGCTCTGGGAGGGGGATGGGGGCTCGCTCCAGATTCGCTTGCAGTTGAGGGAGCCCCAAACTCTAAACAGTCAACTGTCTACCACAGCTGCCAAGCCCAAGGGCAAACTTGGCTTCAGAGTCACCACGAACCACTGTCTCTGCTTCTTGGCTTTGCCTCTTTGCAGGTGCTCGTGGTCAGGAGGGCCCTCCCTTGGGCCATGTGAGTCTCATTTACTCCAATAGAAAGAAGAGAAACTCCTTTCAACAGACCAACCGAAGCATCAGGGTTGGGTCTGCTGGGTTCTGGTGGGTCTCATTTGGGTCCCGTGCCCGCTTCTGGACAGAGGCGTGGCCCAGGGCGTGAAGCCCTCCCAGGCGTCCCGTGCCCGCTCTGGACAGAGGCGTGGCCCAGGGCGTGAAGCCCTCCCAGGCGTCCCGTGCCCGCTCTGGACAGAGGTGTGGCCCAGGGCGTGAAGCCCTCCCAGGCGTCCCGTGCCCGCTCTGGACAGAGGCGTGGCCCAGGGCGTGAAGCCCTTCCAGGCGTCCCGTCCCCACTTCTGGACAGAGGCTTGGCCCAGGGCGTGAAGCCCTCCCAGGCGTCCCGTGCCCGCTTCTGGACAGAGGCGTGGCCCAGGGCGTGAAGCCCTCCCAGGCGTTTGCTAGGCGTGGTCCTGGGCTTGCAGCTGCAACAGTGATGAAGGAGGATGTTGGTCCTGGCCTCCTGGAGTTGGTAGTTTAGAGTATAAGATGTGATGTGGGGAAAATGGACTTTGCTTTTCAACCAGCTTCAAGGCGTGAGTCTGTTCCCAGTAAAGTGGCCTCTCCTCGCTCTGGGCGGGGAGGGCAGAGGACAAGCAGGACAGAGGAGGGGGCCCTGGGTGAGAGGGGCCGACGCAGAGAAGCTGGCCTCCGGGGCTTCCCGGCCTTTGACTCCTCACGGCCCTGCGTGAACTCACTGCGCGTGTCCTCCCCGCTAGCGTCCAGCACGTCCCCAGGGCCCGGCCCTGGCCTCTGCCCCTCACCACCCTACCCCGGGGGCCTGAAGGCCAGGTGGGATCCTGGGGGCCGTGTGGGGGCCGGTCGGTCACTGGGGAGCCGAACAGAGTGCAGGCCAGCATTTGCAGCCTTTACAGCTGGTTACAGCACTTACGGCCATGGGGCGCAGACCGCTGGGTCACAGCCCACTGCACGCCTGGACGTGCCACTGCCCTGAGAGGCAGAGGCTGGACCGCAGACGCGTCAGGCTCACGTGGACCACTGTGACCGCGAGACCCTCCTGCGGGGGAGCGGCCCCTGGGCAGAAACCAGCCCGGCGCCCCCTGGGCCCTGTCAGTCGTGTTCACGTTCCGTCGACAGGCGCCGGGCTTCTCTCCATCTTCCTGACCCTGGACCCTGGACCCTGGACCCTGGGGCTGGCCCAAGCCCATCATCTCCCGGGCACGCTCCTAGGCCGGCTCTGGCCCTGGTCACCCTGCGGGGAGGTGGCTGCCTTTCCAGCTGCGGCCCGGCCTGCCCGTCTTGTCCCCTCTCTGCGGCAGCAGGACCCTCTCCCGGACACAGCCCGGGGTGGAGGCAGGGACTCGCTCAAGACGGGCTCTGCCTGGCAAGCTCTGCTAGGGCTGGCGAGCCTGGGGCGGGAGGTGAGCCCAGCGGCCTCCACGTCGGAACTTTGAAGACTGTTTTTATGCTTTCTGTCTCTTCTTTGTTCATTTGCTGTTTGTTCTCCTGTGGTGCTTTGGTGAAATTTCTTTTGAAAACCCAAGCTTTCTCAGCTGTGCAAAGACGAACAAAGGGAAGGCCTGGGAGCCTTGTCCTTCCTGAGCAGGAGCTCCCGGGGGCCGTGGTGCGGGGGTTCTGGGAAGGGTGTGGGGTGGGGTCCTGGCCAGGTGTCCGTGGGGCTCAACCTTTCTCACAGAGTGCTGCCTCCCTTCCACTGTCCACCACGTGGAGGTTTAAGAGTGAGGCATCTCAGGAAGCTTGCAGATTTGTCCCCCAAAGGTCCCGAGCCAATTCTACTCCACCCAGCAAGCCCCGCACCTCCATCCCCAGCCCTTCAGGATGAGCCCATCTTGTGGGGCTCCTGGGCGACTCTGCAGCCCTGAACTTCCATCCCTCAATGGGAAGGAGTGACAGTGACATCCCAGGACAGAGCTGGCGCCTGGAAGGGGCCTGAGACTCCTTGCAGCCACAGCCTGGTCCCAAGGCTCTGCCCCGTGGCAGCTGGATTCCAGGTTTGGGTGGAAGAACGCTGCAGAGCTCCCTGGGCTTTCTTGCTGCGAAAGGGGTGGAAATGAAGCCTGAATTTACCATTTCCTCCCAAAGAGGTGACGATATAAATAAGCATATCAAGTAACAACTGCTATTTAGTAAACACTGAGAACTTTACATTCCACGTAGAGTCCTTTCAGATAACCCAGGTTCACAAACCTGGCCCTGTTGAAGATGGAGAAACTCAGAAGGTTGGCTGATGGTAAGGCAGCGAGCAAGGATGGGCAAGTTTGGACTCAAATGCTGGTTTTGGATTTTCCTGAGTCGAAGCGTGCCCCACTGGTCAGCACTCAAAGGCAGGCCTGGTGCCTCGAAACCTCAGCCAGGACCACTTCCTGTCTCTGCGGCCACCAGGGCTCAGCCAAGCCCCCGGGTGCTCGCGCCGGCCACCTCCGCACTGTGATCGCCGCCAGCTTGCCTGTCGCACCGCTGCGCGGCTGCGGGCTCAGCGGAGGAGCAGGGGTCCCTCACTGGGTGTGGTGGGAGGCTTGGCACACGGACAAAGCTCATCAGTGATGGATGGGGGACAGTGAAGACTGGCTCCCTTTATAAGGAGACACAAGGTCATCTTGGGGGAATCATGGAAGACGTTTGAGGCTAGGTTCCATTTCTTCATTTGTAGAGTGAACACTGATTGATCCAGTAACTAAGCTTTGGGTTCCTTTCTAGGTGTGAAGACCTGCAGTGCTAAATAATACATGTATGCTGTGCAAGCTTAAAACCATGTAGTTTTGTGCACAGTAAAGAAGAATGAGATATTGATTAATCTCCTGATTCAGAGTTCAGGGTCATAGTTGATGCTACTAAATTAAACTCTGTGAATATAAATATCATTATAGGAACCACACTAGTTATAAACTGGAACACAGAAATGTTTTGTGGAAATTCATGTATGCTATTCACAGAGAGGCCCTCCATGTTCCGCAGAGTCTGAGAAGCATCGTCACACCAAGGACTCTGCTGTTGGAGGGGTTGGTGCAGAGGTCACGCAGGAATGCTCTGGCTCTCCTCATGAATGCGGTTGTTAGTGTGATGGAGGTGCAGATGTTAATCACTGTCCTTTCAGAGGATATGAATCTCTTAGTTGAATAGCACACTTTCATGATACTCAAAGGACTGATTTGTTCTTCCCATTCTAAATGTGGGAGAATTTCAAGTGGAATTTCTTGGGGAAGTCCAGGCAAGCAGACCACATAAATTACGCTGATGTATCAAGTGTTTGTGTGTCTTATTTGCGGTCATAACTGAAACAGGATGGGTTTAGCTCTGTACGTGCAGGTGGAAGCACTTAGAGGGAACCTGAACCCCGCCACACACACACCCCGGGGGTGGAACGAGATGCTCACCAAGGGATAAAGGGCGTTGAGGTTTTACCCACAAAGCAAAGCCAGACGCCCTCTGGGAGGGATAGGGTACACTGGGACCCTCCCGGGTACTGAAGGGTCTGCGGGAGGTTGGGTCTGCCTCAGCGACCCTCCGGGGATTTTCTGAGCTTCGGGCAGAAGGGCTGCACCTTAGAGGGGCTCTCCCAGCTTGTCCGGAGAGCAGAAGGCGCACTCCGGTCCCCACAGGCCGTCGCCAGAGACTGACTGAATGAGCCGGGAATCGATTCTGGCTGCGGAGTTCAACAATCCGAGCCTAAACTCTGCAATGTTCAGTGAACATGCCCTTCCCGTAGATCAAGCAGACCTGCGTCTCTGCCGCGACACAGCAGGGCACAGCCTCCCAGAGGCAGCCGGCCCCTTCCTCGCCTCAGGACACGAACGTCCTTGGAGAGCAAACTGCGCTGGTCTGCCTCAGCAGCAACAGCCGCTGGTGACAGGCCCAGGGAACCAACGCGCTCTCCTCAGAGCCTGCAGACTTGGAGAGACGGGCTCTGAGGCCCCAGGGGAGGGAAAAACCACTCCTGGAGACAAGGGAGACTTTTAAAGAAGCGTGTAGATTGAAACAGCCTGGAGGAGGGCATGGCTACTCACTCAGTATCCTTGCCTGGAGAATCCCATGGACAGAGGAGCCTGGTGGGCTCCAGTCCACGGCGTCACAAAGAGTCGGACACGCCTGAGCGACTGACACACAGTGGTTCTAATGTTCTGGTTGCCCGCTCTGGCCTGCAGGCCTGTTGTAAGGAAAACTTTGGCTTTCAAGCAGCAGAGGTGACCCACCGGCTCAGGGGTCTGGAGCCCAGGGGGCTGAGCTCTTCACTCGGGACCCTTCTCAGTTCGTCCTTCCCCGTCACTGGGCCTCCCTCCTCCTTGTCCAACTTGACAGGCAAAGTTCAAGACTTCCTCTCCTTCAGTGACATTTTCCGAAGTGGAGCCTCTTGACCTGTTCGTGGTCTTGGTTTTGTTCAAAAGCCCTGTCCTTCCTGGCCAGTTTGACCTGCCTATCACATGCCAGACCTCAGCGAATGCGCGGTTCAAGGCGAGGCACGGCGTGTCTCTCTAGCTGCACGCACTTGCACAGAACTGAGGTGAGCAAACAGGGCGGTCAGGCTCGTCTCGGCCCCCGAGCATGATCTGATTCTGACTCAGAGTTTGTGTTTACCTCCACGGCTAGAAACCCTGCCCGGAGCCAAGGGAGCTGTTTAGCACATGCCCCCGCGTTGCAGAGAAAGTTCTCTAATGTGGGTTATGTGAGGCAAAGACTGGGATGAACTCAGCATAACACGTATTCATGGCTGTAGAACCCCTGTGTCACGGGGTGCTCAGGAGCTGAGTTCAAATTCTGTCCTCACAGGGGAGATGCTGCACCTTCTCCAGGTGGTGTGACCTCAGCCACCAGGGAGAGGAGAGCCGGAGACACGTGTGTGGGAGCCGGAGACATGCGTGTGGGAGCCAGAGACAGGCGTGTGGGAGCCGGAGACACATGTGTGGGAGCCGCTGGGCTCAGGGCCCCCCGTCCTCTTACAGGAGATGCGCCCTCAGTGACCGGTGGATTCTTGACAACACAGCTTGTCCTTCGAATTCTTGGCCTCGCGTTCTGCTCTCAAGACCCAGCCGCTATTTGCTTAGGTCTCAGCATGGGAGTTTACGCTAGAACATTCCAGGACATGCTTAGCAGGGGGCATGGGGAACATCAGAGGACTCTGAGGCGGGTGAGACAGGCCCTGCTAACCAGCTGCTTACTCAACGTTGTCAGTCTGGAACCAAACTGGCTGGAAACCTCACATGAAGACAGGATCTCTCCTTCCCAATCTTTCCGCAAGGTTCCCAGCAGTCGACACCGCCTCAGAGGGTGCTGACCCCAGAAGTCTGTGTGTTTTCAAAGCGTCAAGTGACCGCTGAGCACCAGAACCCTCGGGAAGCCCCGGTGGTCCTGGTCAGAGCATTTCCCTCCACCCCCCGCTGCAGAGCAGGGCCCTGTGATCAAGTCCAGTGCAGTGAAGGAAACCACGTCTGCTTTTGACAAAAGGACTCTCCCAAACTCCGGGAGCCTCGGTATTTTAATCAGAATTTTGTACAAGCAAATGTCAGGGCAGGAAAGAATCTGAACAGTCCTGGGAGGGGTACATGGACACCATCCATGTGAGAGGCGTCCCCAGCTCTGCACAGCCCTTACCTAGGAACCCTGACCCCCGGCTCTGCATAACCCTTACCTAGGAACCCTGACCCCCGGCTCTGCATGGCCCTTACCTAGGAACCCTGACCCCCGGCTCTGCATGGCCCTTACCTAGGAACCCTGAACTCCGGCTCTGCATGACCCTTACCTAGGAACCCTGACCCCCGGCTCTGCATGACCCTTACCTAGGAGCCCAGACCCCTGGCTCTGCATGACCCTTACCTAGGAACCCTGACCCCCGGCTCTGCATGACCCTTACCTAGGAACCCTGACCCCCGGCTCTGCATGGCCCTTACCTAGGAACCCTGACCCCCGGCTCTGCATGACCCTTACCTAGGAGCCCAGACCCCTGGCTCTGCATGACCCTTACCTAGGAACCCTGACCCCCGGCTCTGCATGACCCTTACCTAGGAACCCTGACCCCCGGCTCTGCATGGCCCTTACCTAGGAACCCTGACCCCCGGCTCTGCATGAACCTTACCTAGGAACCCTGACCCCCGGCTCTGCATGACCCTTACCTAGGAACCCTGACCCCCGGCTCTGCATGGCCCTTACCTAGGAACCCTGACCCCCGGCTCTGCATGACCCTTACCTCAGGGCCTGGACCCCTGGCTCTGCATGACCCTTACCTAGGATCCTGGACCCCCGGCTCTGCATGACTCTTACCTAGGAGCCTAGGCCCCCAGCTCTGCATGACCCCTACCTCAGGGCCTCAACCCCCGGCTTTACCTCAGGGCCTGGGCCCCCACCCAAATTCCACTGTCTCCATTCCCAACCCTAGTCCTCTGGGACAGAATCACTTTGTTGAGAAGACTGCTGGTGGTTTTATTGTTAAGAATTGTTTGGAATTCGTTCCCTGATAAAACCATTGATAAACTGGGCGGGAGCCAGAAAGAAAGCAGGGAGAGAAACTGGGATTGCTGGAGACCGGGAGCTGGGAGCAGATGCCCAGGCAGATGGGAGGCTGAGGAATGGAGGCTCAGCCTCTGCCCTTCATACCGGTCGGAAGGAGGCCTGTCCAGGGGCCTGACTGTCCAGGGGGGCCAGGGCACCCCCTGTAGGGGGCCTGCTGTGGGTCTAGAGTGGCCACTTATACCCTGACCACATCCCGCCCAGAGGGACCAACCGCCTCTCCCCGGGGTCCTTCAGAACCTCAGAGACTAGGCTCCCAAAAGGCGATAGCAACACAGGCTTTACAGGCGAGACGCAGACAAGGGAGGAGTCTGTTAAAGATCCTACAGCCTCTCCAGAGACTCTGAGGGGTGTTTGGGGTTTGCCTGTTTGTTTTACAAAAGGGAGGGAACAGGATTCCCCGGGGGCTCAGAGGGCAGATGATGGCCTGTCTGCCTTCTCCTCGTGCCCAACAAGCAAACTGGCCCAGTGTCACAAAGATTTCTTTGGGAGTAGCGACAGATGAACATTATTTTTAGTAATTTCAGAAATAAATTTCTGTCAGACAGAAACGTGGGGACCAACCAGGAGGGCACAGTGGGGATCCAGGTGCCCCGCAGGCCCTGGCCAACCCGCCAGGCATGACCCCTTCCCTCTAGAGCCCTTGTGGGTACAGCTCTGAAAACAGTCACGTATTTTTGAAAAATGTAACAGTTCAGTTAAGGGGCAGACGTGTAGACCCATGCAGTCTACCAAGGAAGCCGCTTAGAGTTCTTACCACTACTGTCAAGTGCTTGATTCTGGAAAGTAAATAAGGTGAGCGTGAAGATCTAGTGATCAAAGGGACACAGCATTGTTTATAGTTCCCTATGATGGCAGGGCTGGCAAGCCATTGCTGCTGCTCAGAAGTGAAGACCATCCAATCAGAGATACTTTCTTTGATCGTTTCTCTAAAGCTACCCCTTGTTGGTGGATGGATTCCCAGACGACATAAACCAGGCTGGACAGCACAGCACAAAGGACACCGGGCCAGTTACCCCCAAACAGACTCCAGAAGTCCCGCGAACAAATGTTTCCCGTCCGGCTGGGCACCAGGTCTGGGGCTCCTGGGCACAGGGCTGGCCCGGCTCGGGTTCCAGGGCTTCACCCAAGGGCACATCAGGGTCTCTCCTGCGTCTTCACTTGAAGGAATGCGTGAACCGCGAGAAACTGAGGTCTCAGAGCAGGAACAATCACAGCTCACCACCATGAAGTGTCAGGGGTGATTGTTCCACCTCCTCCCAACCTCCTCGATGCTCTCAGGTGGTGACTGGATGCAGGGACCAGCCTGGTGTCCACACAGCACGTCTGCCTGTCCCAGGGGGCACATTCCACACGTCCCCACTACCTGTGACCCAGAGGCTCCTGCTGATTTGTGACCGGACTCTGAGCCAACAGCACAAGCCTGTGAGGGGCCGCGAGCCCTGGAGACCATGCGAGACAGCGAGTGTGGGTGACACACACCTTCTCCCTCTCTCAGCCGGACTCAGAGCTGACTCCAGGTGGATGCAACTTAAGATCAGTTCGTTTGTCCATTTCAACATTTCAGTCTATCTAAATTCATGGAAATGTGAATGCTTAATTTCAATCTCTCCTTCTAAGATAAATAGTGGTATAAGCCCCAAAAAGGGAGAGGAAAAAAAACTGCTAAGAAAACTCAAAACTTGAACCGATTATCTTTGTCAGTCTTTCACATGAGAGTAAATATAATATCCATGTTCTGTTTAAATAATCATACAAATACCTGCACATCTTCCAAAGATCTTAGGAAACAGAAGGTCCCAAGGGATGTAGGTGAAGCTTCTTTGCTGTGTCTCTCTTTCTGTCACCCTCCTCGGCTTCCCTGGTAGCTTAGTGGTAAAAAAAAAAAAAAAAACCCACCAGCCAATTCAGAAGACGTAAGAGATACAGATTCCATCCCTGGGTCAGGAAGATCTGCTGGACGAGGGCAAGGCGACTCATGGCAACTCAGGTGTGCTTGCCTGGAGAATCCCGTGGACAGAGGAGCCTGGCGGGCTATAGTCCACAGGGTTGCAAAGAGTTGGACATGACTGAGCGACTGAACACATCACCCTCCAGCCCAGCAAACTGCTATCCTAAAGTTTTGATGACCATTTTCTTCTTTTCTCGATAGAAAGTCGGACAGATAGATGGATAGGTAGATGATAGATAAATAGATAGGTGTCAGTTCAGGTCAGTCGCTCAGTCGTGTCCGACTATTTGCAACCCCATGTAAGTATAGTTATGTAAACGTGTACATACACAGAGTGTAGCTTTACAGGTTTTAATTTTTTTTCTGTTCCTGTAGGTTGTCTTTTCATTTTATT